GAGTGTTAGAATTATGCGCTTGTTGTCTTCTCCCGCATAGGCTATGATTGTGTATTGTTCTTCCTAATACTCTTTCTCAGCTTTCATATCCTTATAGAGTTCCCTTTGTATAAGGAATTTCTCTCGAATATCTTCTAGCTCTTGACGGACTTCTTCATACTCCTCTACTCATTGGGAGAGGAGTTTTCTGCTCTCATCTTCCTTAGGTGTAACCTTATTTCTAGGTCCTTGCATTCTTGGAGGTCTGTGACAAGGTTTTGAATCTACACCTTTTGGCTTCGAGTTTCTCTCTATAGCCCTTGGAGTTGAGCTGTCAAAGCTTCTTCAATTTCAGTCTTGACTTGAAGTGCTTGATTATACAAACCCTTAAGCCTTTCAATTTCCCTAGCTGCATCATCCAATCGTTAATTGTGGGAATCAAGGTTGAAAGTAGAACTTAGTAACCCTTCAGTTGAACGCTTTTGTTTAAACCTCTCTTTTTCAGCCAATTCACAATCCTTTTGAGTCTGTTGGTCCTTCAGCTCAAGCTCATGTTGCAACTGATTCTTATTGTAAGCAAGATCATAAAGGCTATACTCTAATCCCTCCTTTTCTCTTTGGGCTTGCTCAAGGGCCGCCCTTAGTTCTTCCACTTCTTTTACTGATATTGGAAGGGGATCTGGTATGTCTGGTTGATATGAAGGATCAATATCAAATGGTAGTTTGTTGATTCAGACCCTATCAAAGACCCATTGAGCATATGGTTCTCTGGCCACGACATTCTTCCTTCCAAATTCATCCCTTTTCTTATGGACCTTACTCCAAGCTTGTATGACTTTCTTTAGTAATTCTAGGTTACTTTTACCGATATCATGGAGGACCAATTGTTGAAGTTGATCATCGGAGGGTTTACCTTCCATAGGATACCCAAGTTGACATAAAGCCAAAATGGGGTTATAGTTGATATAACCTCTTGTCCCAATCAAAGGAACATTTGGAAATTCTCCATAATTATAGACAATTTCTTTTATATTTAGCTTTCTAGCATACCATAAAATAAAATCATCACTTAAGGCCTTAGCTTTTGCGACCATTCATTCCTTGTTAAGTCTTTGACCAAGTAGTTTTCCTTATAGAGATGATACAAAATCCAAGAGTACAAAAGAGAAATACAACAATGTAGTACACCTCTCCCTTTTTCATAACTTGCATGAAGGGATTAGTATATGTCAGCAAGCAAGGTAGGAGTATGATTAGAATTCAGAACTTTCACGGCCCAAAATACATTAATAGTAGCAGAGTCTATGTAGTAAACTATTTTTGGAAAGAGAACCAAACCAAAAATAAATAGTGCCAAGATGTCTCCACAAGCCTCCCATTATTTTCGATCTTTAAAAAAGAGAGCCTTAGACTCTAAGTAGTTCCTCTTGATTCCTTGGACTTCACCATCTGCCTTGTAATTAAGTACTAGATCAATAATGGTATCCCTAAATCTTTATCCAAATCTATGACTTTGATAGTCTACCCAATTCCTATATAGGCTGCATCATTGGTTTTAGAGAACCCCAAAATCCTATCAAATTCCTCCAAAGTATGTGCCAATTGGAAATTATGGAAAGTAAAATATCTTAGTGGAGGATCATAAAATTGAGCAAGGGCAGTGATAGCTTCCACTTGTACATTCATATTTATAATATGAATGATATCACCATAACGACAAACAAAACCTTTCATAGCTTTGTCAGGTAGATTCCCTCTAATCAGCTTTAGTTTCTTCAAATCAGGCATCATGGCACTAATACGGATTGTTGGATTCTTATTAGTATTCATTTTCAGGAAGCTCACCAAAAATCTTTCTTTATTATTTTTTTTCCCAAACAGATCCTATGAATAAGAAACAAAAATGCAAAAATAAATATTTTAAATATAAATGTTTGCATGTATGGTGATGCAATATAAGGGTGGGATCATAAAGGTTTCCTTAGTATGTAGGTCCTTAAGATTGTTCTACGGATATTCTACCCTTCCTCATAAGGGTGGTTTCCTTAAGGTATTATGGATAACACAAAAGGGTAAATGCACAAGGACCTCCCTTAAGTGGAGCCTCTTTGTAGACCAAGACTTTTGTTTTATAGGTTATACAAGGTCTTACCATGAGATTTTATTTTTTTGAGATAGGTCCCTAAAGTCATTGATCAAATACAAAGTCCTATCTCCAAGAGTGGCTAGCTCTCCAATGATATTTATCAAAATTCAACCCACTCTAAACGAAGTTGTCACAAAAACTCATATGGATGTTAAACCCCCTTGGCCAATAGACAACCCCTTATCTAACTTTTATATTATGTGAATAAGAACCCACCAACAAATATATGAAAATATGATAAAGTAAAAAATAAATAACATGATAAATAAAACAAAAACGAATAAGGAAATAGAAATATAAAATAGAAAAAAACCCCAAATGTCTTAAAATCAAAGGTAGGGTAAACTCTAACTTAAGGGATGTGTCCTCAGTAGAGTCGCCAGGTGTCCTAACCAACAAAAAAATACAAGATTGGTCATCACTACTTATTTGTCCTAAGGACGGGGAAGGAACTGAAAAACCCTAATTATTTAGATATTATTGGAATCACGAGTTAAATAGATAAAAGGAAGGTGTTAGGCACTCTTTATCTCCCTTGTACTCAAAGGGACCCCTTTTAGCTCTAGGACTTAATTAAAATATTTCTTTATTTAAATATATTATCATATAATAAAAACAAGGGAAAATTAAGTTTTTTAGTTAGTGGACTCGCCTTGTTTTTTTGAACTGTGTGCCTACGTATCATGTTGTGAAGAAATCAGAGTCCTTCATAGTTCGAAGCGTTTGATTAGTGTTTTTTAGTTAGTGGGCTCGCCTTGGTTATCTAAGCGTTTGAAACCCCTCATTTTACTTTTTGAATTTTCACAACTATTGTTTTGTTAATAGCAGTCCATGTGGATACGATCTTATTTTATTACTTCGACACTATCAATAAACTTGTCGAGAAGTCATCATATTGCAATTCATCATAGAGAACTTTTCAAAGCTTCTTTAAAAATACAAACCATGAACCCAAATGTCTTCATGTAAAATGCTTTCATTATAAACTTTTTATATTCAAAATGCTTTTATAAAAATGTCTATTAGGTTTCACGCAGATCACTAATGGAAGTGTCTTCAACACTGGTACACACTAAATGGACGACAAAGATTTGTTTATGTACGGTGAAGAAAATAAATAAACACGCTTATATATCCCCTCAATTATGACTCAAAACGAGGTAAATTATTTTTCTTTTTTAAATAAAAAATACAATAAAATAGGTTTAATTTCCAGTGCCACAAACCTCTCGAATTTTGTAAAAAATTGAGGGGAAAAGGTTTTTTAAATACCGTAATACGGTGGGAGAACTGACTTTTGTGTTTTGTGAAAAAATCAAGGTGAATTGACTATATGGATAGGTAGTTGTGCTCAAAATGAAACAAAAATTCCTTGATCTTTTTCTTGAATTCATACAATCAACATAAAATAGAAGATTAAGCATAATAAAATCCAGTTAAAACAAGAATTGTAGGCTCCAGCATATGTGAACAATGGAAAGCTACCTCACAAAAAGGGTGGGAACTAAAGTGATTCACAAATGAACAAGTATACAAAAGAATGAATGGCATAAAATTTGTAAAAAGTCTAAGTATCATGAATATGCTAAAGTATAGAAAGTGATAAACGCATACCTCAAACGTGTACAAAACTTTAAACATAATTCATTACCACGCATTCGCAACTCGAAATGATCAAACTTGACAAATCACCTCAATTTCTACAAGTTACCAGACCAAAACTTTAGTCCAAACAACAACAAAAGTATTAGAAAAATAATACTAAATCTAATTACTACATAACTATACAAAACATACAATATTTACAAAATTTTAACAAACTTCCTCAAGTTAAACACGATAAGTTTCGGAAAAACTCAACTGACATAACGAAACAAACGGGTGAACGTGAATTAACAAGTTGAAAAGTGAAGATTAAAAATTTAAAAACTAATCAGAGTTTAACTTGTTACAACACAAGTCACCACACTACCCAAACTAACACAAATAAAAACAATACAATATGCTTGTTTTACGTTGTAATCCCGACGCCTTTATTGTACAAGCTAGTAACCTCCTCTCGTCATGTCATGGTATTGTCACACCGCGCAAACCTAAAGAAAATGTCCTAACAATCACATAACAAATGTTACAAAAACGAGACAATTCACAACAATACGTGAAAACACATATATGCACAAATATCATATACAAGTTAATCTACAATTTCTATACAACATATACATTAATTACAAAACTCAAAAACAAAATAAATATCGCAATGCGAAAACAATAGAACCAATCCCCGACAACGATGCCATTTTCTTGTTATGGTAAAGCGGAAAGCAAAAAGTAAGTTATTAATTTACCTGGTGATATAGGTTATATTGTTTCGTGTCCATAAAGATTGGTTATTGATTCGCTGTTCGACAATTCTATCGTTAATGAGTTTGGGGATAAATGGGTTCAAAGTAAAAGTATTAACAGAAAATAAATGTATAAAAAGAAAAAATGAATAACTTATCAAGCATGCATATATACTACTTCTCACAGACTTAAACCTATCGACATGTTATACTAAACCTACAATATTCATTAATGTCATCACATGTCACTCACAACCTATCCATTTCTAACCCAAATTTAGAGGTCGACTGCATCACCTCAATAGCGATCTCTCAACCACCTCAACAACACCGAAGTCAACCGCGTTCGCTTAAGTCGACAATCTCTCAGAGAGACACAAACAACACAGGTGCATTAATCACAGACACCCTAAGTGAATAACAACACTAAATCTATCTCTAGAATTCAGACACTATTAGATGATCATCCTAGATAAGAATCTAAGCAGTATATGTCTATAGCAACTCAAATTCCTAGCACAGAGCAAAAATCTAGGATAACAATCGACAAATATTTGTAAAGCAAGTTTTATATAACGCCAAGGGCGACAAATATACATGAGTTCAAAGAAAATATACATACAAACCCAATGAATAGAGAATACACAAAGAAAAAGAGAAATGAACCGCAAATCTTTTAGTTTATCAGTGTCGATCGAAGCTCCAAAGTTGTTATCTAAGCTAAGCCTAACAAAATTAAAGATTGATGGAGTTGGGAGCAAAAATTTCCCCAAAACCATCCCTCTCCAAAAGAAATGAAAAGGAAATATAAAGAAACTTCTGATCCGTGATTGTCGCCCGACGACACAACACATCGCCCGACGATGGCTTCTATACACTTGGCCTAGGTTGCGCCATGTATGAAACTGGGGAAAATATAATTCTCTCGCATGGCGACAGATACACATCACCCGACGACACAAGGTAGAAGCAACAAGGAAATTTGGCCTACAAATTTCGCCCGACGACAGGAGCTTTCGCCCGGTGATCCATCACATTCTAACAACTTTTGTTGCTTTCTTGTATAACTTCCAATGGCTCCGATATTTTGCCTTATTCCATTATTAATCCAAAAATGCGTCTTGGAGCTTTATTCCTCTTGCTCCACAAATGCTCAAATACCTACAAAACATATACAAAACTTAATCAAACGATACAATATGTACACAAAATGCAATTAAACATATTTTCAATAAAAAGTGGGGTTATTAAACTGATATTAACAACAAAGAGTTGATAAGTGCAACAAAAAGTATATACAAAAGAACTACACTTTGGCACTTATCACATCACTTCTCTTATCTATTGATTTAGTTCCTTAGCAAAAATAGATATGTGAACCCACACTTTAGGCATTGATGAGTTAATTGTGCCATCAATTTCTTTATTACTTTTTGGTTTATTGTACAATTCATCTTTCAAAAGTTTTTGGTAAAAATTCGGGGTCTGCCATTATTTAATAACCATCTGATCCGAATGTACAAGAACTTTGTATTTTCGCACCCTTCAATCAGAGAGCAATTAAATAAGGTCATATGTCATACCTCAAATTTACCCGCATTAGTATTAACAACCAATCTATTTTATTAGGTCATCTTCATACTAATTTTTGCGCATCGTTACATATGTTTAAATTTATTTATAATGTAAACTAACATTTATTTATAGTTAAATTTAGGTTAATTTCATGAAAAATCATGTTCTATTTTTCTGGGCTTTTAATCTAAATGGACCTTTAAGATCCTCTTAAGAGGCCCAGAAGGAGTTTAACCTTAGAAGAAAAAAATTCCTTTATCGTTGACCAAAGTCAACATCCTTGACTAATGCTATTTTACGTTGTTATTATTATTTTTATTTGTTTTACATAAAATTATTAATTGTATCCAGAGTCAACATGGGTAAGTTTTATTATTATTCTTATTTGTTTTATTATTGTTTTATGATTTATTATCATTATTATTTAATTATTATTTTTGTAAAGTTGAGTAAGTCAACTAGGATTTTGAACCCCTTTGTCATTGAGTTGCGCCCAGGGTTGTCTTCAACCCTAAGACACCAACAAAAACCAAAATCTGGTGGTTACCAATTTGATTCAAATTAGAAATTAGAAAAGATTTTATTAAACAAAGAATTTGTACAAGAAAGTTGGACCAGATTCATTACTACCAAAACCCTAATTTCTAATTTTCTAAATAAATCTAATCAAATCTTCTTCTAATTACAAATTAGAATCAATCTAATAATCTAATTATAAATAGAAAATTAATCTTAAACCTATTTCCTAATCTAATCTAACCCTAAGCTTATAAATACCTAAACCTAAAACTAAGGAAGGGATGGAGGAAATTGAAGAGAAAAAGCTAAAGAAGAAGTTGGGTACCTAGAGCCCTCATTCCCTGTTACGAAGCCTTCAACCCTGTACCTGCAAAAACAAAAAGAGAAAGGGATTAAAGGTCATAAAGGTCAGAGGGAAATTTACACAAAGAATCACAACATAAGAGGTAAGCCTCGAACTTAGCTTAGGGTTAGATGATTGTTGTTGCTGTCAAATTTCTGATTGATCGATGCTTAAATTGGGGATTTTTAGAAAATATAGGGTTAAGGTATAGATTGTTAGGGTTCATGCTTTTTTGGGTTTTGGATGAAGTTCCCGGCGAGCTTCCATTCAGGTACGGAGGCCTCAACAACCACTCAAGGTGGTTACGACCATGTGTTCTTAGGTTACTAGGGTTAGTGTTTATATTCATAGGGTTCTATGTGTTTCTGATTTTTGTTTGAAGTTTTCTGTTAATCTTCAACTGGGAAACTAGCTAAGATGGTGGTTCGGGGGTGACACAAGGTGGAGCCACCGACAGAAGCAATTTCCGATCAGTGGTGACGATTTTTGATCTCCAGAAATGTAGAGGGAGGTCACAACTTTGTTTTTTATTTGGGAGAGTAGAATGAGAGAAGTAGAGTAGCGAGAGAGAGAGAGAGAGTGAGAGAGAGAGAGAATAAATATAGAAGAGGGAAAAATGAAGTTTGTGAAAAAAATTCATTTAAATACCCCCTATATATCATCCCATATCAATGACGTGTGGCCTTCTATAAGCCAAATGATGAGAATACCTTGACTGATATCTCCATGCACCCCATACCATGCACCTTTCTCAACTCTCCATTTGTATTAATTTTTACAACGCCTCATAGTTAACCTCTGGTGGCCATTTGATCAAAATCAGACGTTACAGAAACATTGTTACACCATAACACCATAATCCTCTCCCTAACTCATCCAAACGAACTCAAACAACCGTCTGGGCCAAGCCCAATCCTATTTTCATCCCAGGTTTACTAGCTTGATCTAATACCACACCCCCTGCGCTATATTGGACTCAACAATTATTCTGAACCTAGCTCTTTGCTACCCAAACACCCCTAAATTACTTAACTAAATAAAAATGCACCCCCTGTTGATTTTCTTATATAATTTCGTTTTCTTTATTTTATTTATTTATTTATTTATTTATTTTTAATTACTTTATAATATATTTATTAAAATAACAAAAATATCTATTTTCTAATTAAATACGTATTTTATTTATTTTATTTATTAAACACTTTCTTTTTTTGGAAAAATGTTAATTCCTCTTAATAATTAGTACCATTATTAGCCCATATTATTTGCAAATTATTTTCTAAAACTACTAAGCATCTTTTAAAATACTAACTTACTTACTTATCTTTTCTAAGCTTTTTATTAACTTCAAATATCAATTATATTTACTTATTCAAATGCACTTTTCATTTCTATTTTCAAAATTAAAACAAACATTAATACATCTAACCCATTAAACTTTTCCTTTTTTACTAATTTAATAAAATTCAGGATCATTTTCAAAAAAAGGATTAAATAGCATTCCTTTCAAATAAAAACTTCGAACTGCGTTTACAATCACTCATTTTTCAAATCCAGACAAGGTGCAAGGATAATTCGAAAGCAATTCTACGCAATCCTATAAAAAACTAACCAATTACAAACGAACTACGAAATGGACTCTGATTTCTTCGCAAGAGGATACGTAGGAACGCGATTAAAACCAAGGTGAATCCCCTAATTAAAAAACTAAATCTTTTCACATATATATGGAAATAACATATTTAAATAGAAAATTACCTTTAAGTCTTAAACCTAAATAGGGGTCCCCTTGAGAACAAGGGAGATAAGGGGGTGCCTAACAGCTTCCCTTTATCTAACCAACTCACGAACCTAGAAATCTTGGAATTTTAGGGTTTTTCGTTCCTTTCCCGTCCTTAGGACAAAAAGTAGTGGTGGCACTCATATTTTTTTCAGTTACGACAACACGTATTAAACTCATTCTTAAGTCATGGACGAGTTCGGGTTAAGACCAGAAGCTCTAAAACACAAAGTCAACAAATTGAAAGATAAATTGGGTGAGATTTTAATAGTCTTGTAATTCTTGGTGGAAAAAATAGGAAATGAAGAAACCTTGACTATAAGTGTAGGGAACCATTACACCATTCGTTAACTGTAAGATATTAATCATCCTGCTCCTTGGGAAATGGTAACTTAAATCATGTACATGATAATCTATGCGCAACCTGCAATCACCTAACCCCGAGACACTCGATCTAGAGAGAGAACTCAGAAATTGAAAAATGAATATGGATAATTTAAGAGAGTTATAATTACAATCTGAATGCATTCAACTTATGAATGGTCGCTGATGTTATGGTTCCTCCAAAATTCAAAGTACTTGGCTTTGAAAAGTAAAATTGGGTCAATGGTCCAAAGAACTATTTGATCATGTACTGTAGAAAGATGGCTCCTCATGCCAATATTGATAAAAATTTAATTCACCTATTTCAAGACAGTCTAACTGGGGAAACTTTTAGTTGGTACATGCACCTCAAAAAATACCACATTCACTCTTGGAAAGACTTTGCTGAATCTTTTTTGAAGAAGTACAAATATAACATTGATTTCAATCATGATCAAACGATATTGCAAGACATGGCAAAAAGGGATGATGAGACCTTCAAATAATATGCTCAACGATGGAAAGAAATTGCTTCCCAAATTTAACCTCCGCTTTCTAAGAAGGAGTTAGCCACCATGTTTGTTGATACACTTAAATACCCCTTTTATGAGAAAATGGTTGGAATCTCTTCACTACTTTTCTCAGATCTAGTCACTATTAGAGAGAGAGTCAAAATGGGCATAAAATTAGGAAGAATCATTGACAATACTCCAAATGTAGTAAAAGCTAAGAATCCAATGTTAGAAGAATCTGAAGAAGAAGACTTAGATGATGTCAATCGTGATGAAACATGAAGCATCATCTCAACTTGAACGAACATATCGAATTCAATATTTGAGTGAGTAAAAGCCCAACCAAACATGAATCAAGCATGATAGTTTATCCTCAACATTGATGATCCTTTTGATGTTTCATCCTTTCTTTGTAATTTTCCTGTTTATTAAGTACTCATTTGCTTTTAAATTTGTTGTTCTTTTGAATGGAAAGATTAATGAAATGATAATGCATCTTTTGAACTAATATTTTTATGTTCACTCTTTTTATATCCCTTTTTCCTTTATGCACAAAAAAAAATAATATCAATGTTCTTCACTTTATTTCTTTTCCTCATCAAAGTGTTATTTTAACAAAGATTAGATGGAGGATGATGTAAACAAAATACACCTTTTAAGTATTCTTTTTAATAAACTTGGATGATGATGTAACCCATTGTTTCAATTCCCGAACACTAAGGAGCTGAGAAAGCTTAATCCCTAGTCACCCCATTTAAGCCTGTAAATTGGGTTTCTTTCTTTATTAAACCTTTAATCTTGACTCGGGGCGGGGTAGTTTTTTAATAAGTTTGGCTATGTATTCAAATTTCAAGA